AATATTATAAAATATTGTAATTATAATATTTTCACATTAAATATTCATTTACTCCTTTTTTTTTTATAAGAGCAATGATTTATTAACAATGTAATGATTATAATGTATCCATAATTTGCCCGTTCAGACATTACATAATAACAAAGAAGCATATCCTCCGATTTTTTTCTCCTAGGGTTGGGAGTGGTTTTTCTCCTCAGAGTGGGAGGCGGCTAGCGCAATATTTCTTTACAATCGCTGAATAGTGTATCAATCCTGAGACTCGGACACGCCCATGGCCGGACCAAGTGTGCGAGATCTGACGATGGCATTCGGAGAAAGGCTTTCTTTAACTACGGAGGAGGATGTACGGCTAGCTCTTGACGAGGGGGCGGTGATAATCAGTCAGGAGAGGCGTCACGTTTCTGCCTCATTGGAACAGTATTGATTTGGAAGCGGTATAACATGGAAGCAATGGAAAACACACTTGCTAGGATTTGGAGACCAGTGAAAGGTCTGCACATGAGGGTTCTAGGGAGTAATCTCTTCGCTTTCGATTTTTTTCACCCAGTTGATATGCAAAGAGTGTTGGCTGCAAGGCCGTGGCGCTTTGTCAACCATGTCATGGTATTGAAGGAGGCGTCGGTTGGAGAACAGGTGTCTCGGTTGGAGTTGTTTGAGGTCCCTTTCTGGATACAAATACACGGTTTGCCGCCTGATCGTATGACGGAAGCAACAGGAAAGAGAATCGGAGGGGAGATAGGTAGGCTCATTGAAGTGGATGCTGGAGAGGGTGATGCATGGGGCGTGGAATACATCCGTGTTCGAGTGTTCATTGATGTTCGGAAACCCCTGCATCGTGGGATGAGTCTATCATTGTTAAGTGGTCCAATCTGAGTAGATTTTCGCTATGAACACCTACCCAATTTCTGCTATTGTTGTGGTATGTTGGACCACGTTGAATGGGATTGTGAATTAGCTTTGGAGATGGAGAGCTTAGGGAGGATTGATCGCCCATATAGGGAAAAGTTGAGGGCAGTTCCTAAACGGGGACAGCAAGCAGACACAGTCTACAAAGGGAGATGGATCCGCGACGCCTCCGATCGTCCACTGTCGGAAGAGCCACGGAGACGGAGGTACGGGCCTCCTATGGAAAGCAAGTGTCTAGTTATGGAAGGTGGATCTGCTGGTGGTTCTGATAAGCTTGATTGGCGGGGGAAGGATATGAGATTGCTAATCATGGATCCGAGGAGGAGTCAAGGGCGATTAATTCGGGAAGATACCGTTGATTCTGCAATTTGTCTATCTAGCTCGGCTTTACAGGTCGCAAATATGGAACAACAGAGCAATCCCATAAATCAAGCAGAGACCGTTGATAGTAGCAAAAATGGCGGGATCCCTTTAAATGTGCCTATTCTACAGGAGCAGGATGGTAGGTGTGAGTCATTCCCTAATGCAGCCTCGGCACATGATGAGCATAACAGTATGGATGGAATGGGCTCTATGCAGGCCCAGATACAGGGCCAGATCGATACTAGCCAGCCCACTGTTTCAAACTTAGTTTTCTTGTTCTCTTCACCCCAGAGCAACCCCACCCACAAGCCTAGGGCCTAGAAAAGGGAAGCTTGAGACAAAAGGACCCCTCTTGTGCATCCTAAATTCACAACTGGTAGCGTCAAGAGGAAGGAGGAGGAGGAACAGGACCAGAACACTACAGTTGTCACTACAAGCTTGGAAAAGAGAGGAAGAGGAATTGGTGTTGATGGAGAGCAAATCATTGTATCGGCGGGCACTGTTATGCAGGCCTGTCGCTCGCCATGAGTCTCTTTTGTTGGAACTGCCGGGGGCTTGGGAACCCTCGAGCAGTTCTTAGCCTCATCGAACTGGTGGGGTTAAAGAAGCCTCTAATAGTGTTTCTCAGTGAAACACTGCTAGATAGAAGAGGTATGGAGAGGATTTGAAGACGGTTGGGCTTTCAAAACTATTTTGCTGTTGACAGGAGGGGGCGTAGTGGGGGCCTGGCCTTATTATGGAAGTCAGATATGCATCTATCTTTACTTTCTTATTCCCAGAACCACATTGATATGGAGGTGGTAGGGATAGGAGAGAGCAAATGGAGGTTTACTGGCTTTTATGGATTCCCGGAGAGAAAACATAGGCGGAGATCGTGGGCCCTAATCCGAGAACTTGGTAGACGCTCGACTTTACCCTGGTTCATAGGTGGAGACTTTAATGACCTCTTAAACCAAGAGGAAAAGAGGGGTGGCGTCCCTCACCTAGACTGGCTGCTTCAAGGATTTAGTGACACTCTTGATCATTGTGGTCTTACTGAGGTCCCCATGTCCGGGGGTTGTTTCACTTGGCGAAGGGGGTCAACGGTTGAAAAGCTAGATAGAGGTCTAGCTAATCTTAGCTGGAGGAACTTATTCCCTAAAGCTCAAGTTTGCCTGTTGCCACCACTTTCATCTGACCATAACCCCCTATGGATCATGATTGATGGGTGTCGAGACAGGAGAAATAAACGCAAAATGAAGTTTCGGTTTGAAGAGATGTGGTTGCGTGAAGATGACTATCAGGAAGTTGTATCATCTAGCTGGTCCTCCGTACATGGGTATGACGGTTGGAACACTCTCATACAAAAAGTCCAATCTTGCTCCTCTGCGCTAACAACCTGGAACTCTACAAAGTTTGGTAAGGTGCAGAAGCGTTTAAGTCATTGTATGAGGAAGATTAATGCTTTGCAACAACAACCTCATTCTGAAATTGTGAGCCACAAAGAGCGGCAGGTGCTAGCTGAGATGGAGGAATGGTTAGAGAAAGAGGAGATTATGTGGAGGCAATGTTCCCGTGAAATATGGATCCAAGAAGGAGATCGTAACACTCGGTTCTTCCACAGGCGCGTGTCTAAACGAAGAGAGTGGAATAAGGTTGAGAGGTTGTTGGGAGAGGATGGGGAATGGAAATATGAGTTCATTGAGATGCAGCATATTGTCTCTAGGTATTTTACCTCCCTATTTGAAACGACCCAGCCGGTGGATATAAGCCATGTTACGAAGTGCTTAATCCCGTGCGTACTAGAGGATGATAATAACTACTTAACTAGTGAGTTCACTGAGGAGGAAGTCTCAAAAGCTCTGTTCCAAATGCACCCTTCAAAGGCCCCTGTCCCAGACGGTTTATCACCTGCCTTTTTTCAACATTTTTGGAGCCAGATTAAGGATGATATACTGAAGCCGTGTTTGCAATTCCTTAATCATGGAGTGGAGTTTCCACCTGCATTGAACTTTACACATGTGGTGCTCATCCCAAAGTGCAAGGATCCAAAAACCATGTCTGATCTTAGACCCATCAGCCTCTGTAATGTCATCTATAGGGTCATAGCTAAAGTGCTGGCTAATAGATTCAAACAGATCTTGCCAAGGGTTATATCCCAAGAGCAGAGTGCTTTTCTACCCAACAGATTAATCATAGACAATTTCCTAATTGCATATGAGGTACTCCATTACATGCGTGCCAGAAAGAGAGGAGCAAGGGGATGGTATGCCTTAAAGTTAGACATGAGCAAAGCTTTCGACCGTGTGGAGTGGCCTTATTTAGAAGTTGTAATGAAAGCACTTGGGTTTGCAGAAACTTGGGTCCAGAAAATTATGGCATGTGTGTCCTCAGTAATGTATGAGATTTTGTTGAATGGTGAGGTTTCATGTCATATCTCTCCTTCTCGTGGAATTTGACAAGGTGACCCTTTATCACCCTACTTGTTTATTCTATGTGCAGAGGGGTTAACAGCCATGATCAAGGAGGCTGAGAGGAGAGATTTCTTGCGTGGAGTGAGGATTTGCAGACAGGCTCCTAGGATTTCTCATCTCTTTTTTGCTGATGATAGCTTCTTGTTCTTAAGGGCATCAGAATCGGGGGCTCGAAATTTGTTGGATATCCTCAAGAAGTATGAAGCAGCATTGGGCCAGATGGTTAATCTATGCAAATCTTCTGTCACTTTTAGTCCAAATGTCGACCAACAGACCCGTGGTAAGATTCTTGATGTTCTGGGAATGGAAGAGAAAGAAAACCCAGGGAGGTATCTCGGCTTCCCATCCCAAGTTGGCAGATCCAGGACAGCAGCCTTCTCTGGTCTAAAGAACAGCTTTTGGATGCGAATTCATGATTGGAGAGAAGAACCTTTATCTAAAGCAAGTCGGGAAGTGTTAATAAAGTCTGTGTTACAAGCTTTGCCTATGTATGTTATGAGTACCTTTCTCCTCCCTACGGGGCTCTGTACAGAATTGGAAAGGATTATGAACAGGTATTGGTGGGGTGGAGGAGATGATGAGCACAAGATCCACTGGATGGAGTGGAGACGGCTTGCGATCCCAAAGAATATGGGGGGCCTCGGATTTCGGGCCTTGCATGAATTTAACACTGCTTTGTTGGGGAAGCAAGGATGGCGATTGCTTGTCAATTCTGATTCGTTGGCTGCAAGAGTCTTGAAAGCAAAATATTTTCCTCGATCTGATTTGTTACATGCTAGCCTTAAGCCATCTTGTAGCCTTACATGGAGAAGTATTTGGCACTCACTGGATCTTTTGAAGCATGGTTGCCGGAAGCTGATCGGAGATGGTCGTAATACAGGGATTTGGAGTGACCCATGGATCCCAGGTAACTCTCAATACTATGTTCAATCGCCCCGACCAGAGAACTGTGATCTTGAATATGTCTGTGATCTCATTGATGCTGACACTCACACTTGGAGAAGAGATCTAGTGATGGAAACTTTCAATCCTCATAAGGCCCAACTCATTCTGTCCCTTCCATTGAGTTGGATGGGGCAACATGATAGCTAGGTTTGGAATTACACGAGACATGGCTCTTATTCTGTCAAGTCTGGGTATCATCTGGCCATTGAAATGCAGCGAAATCCGAGTCTTCCGACGAGCTCATCTTTAGGCTTTCAGGGGAGGCGTCTATGGTCCCTTGATATTCCTGAGAAAGTTCGCTTGCTGCTGTGGAGTGCCTATTGCAATATCTTGCCCACTAAGGACAACTTGCACCGTCGACAGATAATGATAAATCCTAAATGCCCAGTGTGCAGTTTGGAGCAGGACTCTGTATTACATAGCCTCATGTCCTGTCCTGTTGTTCGAGCTGTTTGGTTGGGGTGCCCTTTCACTCTTAAGGTGTCTGAGCTTGGCATAGAGACGTTTGCAGCAGCCTTTGACATTGTGGCAGATGTCTTGGGGACAGAACACTTGGAACTTTTCTGTGTGGTGTGCTGGAAGCTATGGAATTGTAGGAACAATGCCCTGTGGAATGGTAAGATCACCAGCCCTCAGGTTATTGTTGAGCAGAGCCTCCTATTTCTAAATGAGTATAGACGCTTGACAGTTTCAAAGAGGAGAGGAGCTGCGGTAGTCCAACGCCACACGGAAACGAGATGGAAACCACCAGGAGAATGACTCATAAAAATTAACGTGGATGGGGCGACATCCGATGAGGAGCGTGTGCATGGGATGGGTGCAGTTGTGCGGGACTCTTTGGGTGAAGTGATGGCAGCTATGGTTTGTAAAGGACAAGGTCTAGTGCCTGCTGAGATTGCCGAGGCCTGCAGCCTGCGGCAAGCCTTGTGGTGGGCCCAAAATCTCTCTTTTAGGAGAATCATTATGGAATCTGATTGTTCGAGTATTGTGACAGCATTAAACAGTTCGACACTTAGCTTCCATTCAAGTTTAGGTGCTGTTCTATTAGACTGCAAACGGTTAATGACCTCGTTCCTTTCTTGCCATATCCAACACGTACGACGGGAAGGTAATGCGGTAGCGCACGAGCTTGCGAAACGTGCCCTGCATGCTGAAGCTGATGAATTTTATATAGAAGAAGTCCCAGCTAGCCTCGCACATATTGTAATAGGGGAAAAGCCTATCGCTTAAGTTGTAATCTCCTATTTCATGCTACTTTTTGAATAAAGTATGTGCAAAGTTTTCCGATAAAAAAAAAAAAAAAAAAAAAAAAACTTCTAACTATGTATGCAATTTTGGTCAAACGGCCGGGCACCATAAATCTACTCAATTTTTAAAGTAAGGATGGGCAAAATATTTGTGCAGATGCTAAGATTTCTGAACTGAAGAGGACAAAAACGATTCAAATCTAAGGAAACCTGGAAAAGAGTGCAATATCAAATTGATGAGCAGACATATTATTCAATGGAGAATAGCAGGCTATAGGTCTCTCTAGCCATTCTGCTCTTCTAAACTAATTCTAGGTTCTTCCAAATAACAGTGCAAACCTAATTAAGGTTCTCAAAAAAGAACCCTAGCTGCTACATCCTACATAATCACACTGAAAATTTTGTGCCACCACCACCAACTAGCAATATATACCAACCATCCACATTCTCCTTCATCCAGGGGGAATGGGGAAGAATATTAGCCTTCAATAGCTAAACTAGACGTGCCTTATTTCTTTTGTATATGAACTTTGGCCGATTGGCCAATCTTCCTATTTAGGTGCAACCAAATTGCAACAACACAACAGTCATTTTTTGGGTTGAAATTTGCTATGTACTATTAAAAAAAGACAATTTGTAAATACTTGCAAAACTAGTGGACAATTTGTAAATACTTGCAAAATTAGTCAGGTACAAAAGTCTGAAACGGCCGGCTGACCAATTGTACAATGCCATATCGAATGACGCAATCCTCCAGCAATTTTCAAATCCAAGTTTGAGTATTTCAGTAAATATGCCCAAATTTCCTGACCTCATCTTGGATTCGCACTCAGAAGCGCCATAGCCAGCTAAGGAAATGGGTCTCATGTCACCATTCAAATTTACCATTTTATCCCTGCTTTTCTGACTACTTTTAAGAAAAACATGGCTTCGTCTTCTCCAAACAGTGACCTTTTGTTTTATTTTGTCAGGAAAGTACTGTAGAAGAGATAAACCAAACAACAACAAATCTTACCATTTTGCTACCAAAAAAAACAAATCTTACCATTTTCTTACTGAAAATAACCACTCTAATTCTTCTTCCTTAGGAAAAACTTCTAAAACAATTCCTCAACTCCTCCACTATTACTAATTGAATCCTTGTAGTTTTTTTTTTTTTGGCAAATCAACCTGTCAACTGCTCAACTAATAAAATTCATCCTAAATAGGAAGGCAAAGGTCATGTGTGACATGTGAAGTACATTGTTGACCTTATTGTGACATTGAGGTTTTTTTTACCTTGATAAGTTAGGTAAGGGTAGAACAAAGAAGGTCTAAGGTTGGGACCTAAAAAATTGACTCCCTAGCCCCAAAATTTTGGGTTGTTCAGTTGAAGCTCTATTGTGATTAATTCTAAGTGTTTAAAATTTTGGTTAATTTTGATTATTGTGTTGTTTCCAATGTTGAGTTTGTATTTTGTAGATTTTTACTACTTGCTCTTTTATTTATTGATGAGTACATTTCATAATTTATTCTCCTAAGGATTATTATATTATGGTCTTTGGGTTTGATGGTTTAGGTTACAATATATTGAAAATAAACTAATTGAATATCACAAGTAGTAAAGATAAAGATTTTTTTTTTTTTGGGTGGGGTGGGGAGAATAGGTGTTTTGACATATAGGCAACATTTTTTACACACAAGAGCTACTATATTCTAGCAATGAATGTTTGGTGTATTTAATGGTTAAGGTAGATGTGCTAGCACCATAAGGGCTAAGGTTTGAGTTCTATTTTGTGTAGATTATACTCCTATTTCATTTTAAGTGATTTTATTATAATGTGATAAATGTTCATTGATTGATATTATATGTACTCATTAAAGTTTTTTTTTTTTTTTGGTAAATTAAAATTAAACTTATACTCAATAAAGAAAACCTACTATTTCAAAAAGAAAAAGACCTTAATCACGTATAGATGCAGCATTCGAGCTTCACAATTCAATTTGGGCAGATTTAACAACATATAAACCATAAGTGCTCAATTGCCAATAGTGAAGAAGTTTGAGGCTTTAGATGCTTATTTCTTACTCTCTTATTTGTTAGTATTTTTTTTTTTTTCTGTTTTTAGTGGAAATAACAACCCAATAAATGGTGGAAGAAGGAGAATAATTTAGCACAAACATACCTCACAAATCTTTTTATTTTATCTAAATATATGATATTATATATTTATATATTTAATAATATATAAAAATTATAAATAAAAATTACTGAGTTAAAGTTTGCAACTAAATCATAACAGCAGAAAAAATTACTTTAGTACCTACCATATCAACTTTAGGCCTTGGCCGTGGGTCACATTGTCCTAGAGTAAATTGAAGAGTGAAGAAATGAAATATTGGGGCACCGAATAATTGAAGAAAGAAAGCGAACCATTTTTTTGGCAATCAACAAATTGAGAAAGAGAACAGTGGAAAGGAATTCTGCAAAATTTTTGTATGCTGCTGTCAGCAAACCGAGAGAGAAAGAGAGTCTGATTGGATCTGCTATCTTTGGGCGCTGATGGAGACAAGATTTACAGTGACGTTTCATTTGCTATCTCTCTTTTACTGTACAATATTATGACTAAGATTAGATCACGCTTTTTTGTAGTCCGACTTGATTGATTTTCGAGGAGAAGTTTTGGAGGAGAAATGCCTTACATTTACAGATACAGAGTCCACTTTTATTAATGGTTATAGTGGTGTTTGAATTTGTTGTTTTAATATAATTGATAATTAATAATTAATTTTTAATAATTAATAATTATTATTATTTGTAATTTGAAATATATAAACTGTTTAATTAGAATAACAGTTGATAAATATTTACTAATCTCTAAACCAAACTTTTTGATTTTTTATCAATTTTTTGGCATTTGATAATTACATTGATTTTCAACAAATTTAAATTGAGTCGCATCAGATCTTGTTAGGGGGAAAATTTTCTCAGTACTTATTTCTCCATTCATAATACTTAAACTCAAGATCTTAGTTAAGAGTAATCGAATTTTTTTTACACAAATCAACAAATCGTTGATAATCAAACTTTTTTTATAATTGTGTAATTTATATTAAGTTAAATTGTACAATATTTTTATGTTAAGATCAAAATCCTTTAAAAATTTTACTCAAACAGATAAAATAATAATAATAATAAGACGCTTGAAGATCGGAGTTGGTTGATATTTTTCTCTTCGGTTGTTTCATTTTCTTTGCCGATTGTTCGTGTGTTGCTCTTAAATTAGTA